ACTTGACATGTCAAAGGCCTTTGACAGTATTGCCCGTAATTCCGAAGTTCAAATGGAGACTGGGGACAGTTTTTAAAGTTAAATTCAATTATTAATTGAAGCCCATCACAAGAAAGATCACATTGAAATTAGTCAGTTTTACCAAGTTTGAGGTTGTTTCGTTAGATTGCAACCATGTAGAAGGCTTTCAAAATCAGAAAAATGAGAGACCTTTGCATGGATTCAGTAGGGGACGCCAATCTCGGAATTAGAGACGTTTGTATGGAATTTGGGCGACCTTTGACAGCTCACAGCCTGGTTACCAAACTTGGCGAACTTACTCATTTTTCATGCGATGGGATTATTTTTTTAATATGACATAATTTGAACAATAGGTAACTAGTTCCCAGTCCCTTTTTGAACTTCGGAACGGGCAATTCAACATGACATTCTATTACAGAAACTGCAAGAACTTGGTGTCTCCTCTTAAAGCCTGGACTGGTTTCATAGTAATCTCGTACCCAGATCCCACTCTGTCTGCCAGGCAGAGGGTGATCTGGGTACGAGATTAGTTTCATAGTTATCTTACTGGCTGATACCAAAGAGTACGCATCCACGACGCTGTCTCTGACCCACTCCCATTGAAATATGGAGTCCCCCAGGGATCTATACTGGGTCCTGTCCTGTTTACAATTTATGTAAATGACCTGCTGTCTCAACCTCGTCCCCAGGGTCTCTCATCTTCCGCCCCCTCTCCAGGGGGCGGGAAGATGAGAGACCCTGGGAACGAGGTTGCTGGCTGTCTGTCCCTGAACACTGTAAATCAGCCTGCTATGTTGACGATAGTAAACTTTATTTATAATTTCCTTCACCTGACATAACTACTGCTATTGACAATCTGAATGAGGACCTGAAAACATCTGCGGTGGGTGTTGTCAAAATTCATTACTGGTAAATCCAGATAAGAGTATTAAAATAATAATTACTATTATTAATACTTTGTCTAACGAGAATAAAGCAATGGTGAACTGTGATCAATTATTGACTGTTTTATTTTGCGTTCATGTGATTTGCTTTACTGTAGTTATTAACACAATGCATTATATACTGTACCATGTTTTCTTGTTTGAAATAAACACTTTTAACTTATTAGACTTACTAGACTTATAACTTATAGACCTTTTGTAGCTTATAGACTATAAATTAATATAGAACTTTACTATTAGCTTTTATATATATTATTTTTTTCATTTGGCTTACAATAAATCATACATTTTAACCTGCTTTAAAACAGCAATCAAATTATATTATAAAATTTAACAAAAATACTGAATTTAAGTAACTTTTGTGGGGATATATCATAGAAAATAATGTATACATCTCCGTTATAAATTTCACACCTAACAATGTTTTAAAATTGCAAGAACTAAAAATTTCTTCTAATGATAAGTTTTACTAAGCAATAAAAAACTTTGACTATCAATATACCAAATAGAAAACGTTTTCCGTGTTTCCATAGAGTGTATGGTAACACAAGTGAAGTTTGGGATAACAAGAAATGCTGTTTCCACAGCAATTTCGAGTTCTCCCAAACTTTCACGAGTGTTAACCATAACTCTTATGGAAACACAGGGAAAAGTTTTCTACTGTTTTTATGAAATAAAAACACGAAGCAATTTTCTATGTTTCCATAGAGTTGTGGTAAATGGTTTTGGGCCAATGAGAGCGCGCGTTGTATCTTGTTTATTTCCTAAAAGGTGTTATCGCACTAGGAAATATTGTGACATAAGTTGAAAATCAACATGTCAAGCAACAAGAATTATCTCATTTTTCCAGGTCGTCACGCATCGCGTCTCTCCACTAAGGGTGAAGCATTGCGTGACGACCCTAATAGTGGCTGCAAAGGGACTGGTGCTAGTACGAACCAAGCTTCCTCGATGATTGTGGTCACGCTGTAAAAACTGTCATGCAACGTGACTTCGCAGTCATTGCGTGACAACATTGCCTCGTGTAACTCTAGCACTACTGCGTTAAACAAGAAATACTGCTTCATTGACGTTCAAATGTCAATGAAAGATTATAAACACTTAAACACGACCATATTTGTTTGGTTTACGAAGCGTAATAGTGATGGAATCAAGAATCCTTGGCTGTGTCTGGCACTCCTCTCAATGCATGACGGAAGACCTGCAGAGAAAACAACAAAACGGCACTTTAGAAAAGAGAAAACATAGGATCGTGAAAACAAGGACTTCAGAGTTAGATCGTAGAACGCGGACATTAGCAGGCACGTTGATGATTTTAAACCCCCCCCCCCCCCCCCCCCCCACCTGACCTTGTAGCCACGTAACTTACGATTCTCAGTATGGGAAATATTACGAGGCACTACGTAAGTTATCACGTAAGCATGACGCCAAAAGGATTTACGTCAGGTTACTTAGCAACCGGCTCTAATTTTAGTCTCGGAGATGTTTTGCGAAATAACAACAACAGAGTTGCAAAGGAAAGAACAGTTAGGAAGAAAAATTAATGAAGATACGGTTTATCTTTCTTAAAAACGGTAGCTTACCTCCATTTGTCCAAAGGCCCCATAAAGCTTAGCACAGCCTGAAATTGAGATCAAACAACAAAATTAGAAATCGTAGAAAGGGTGAAACGCAAACAAAAAATAATTGCGCGCCCATTAGTACAAATATAACAGGCAGCCAAGATATGTTATTGACGAAGCTGTTTCCCCATGAGTGAGCCTCACGTTTTCAAGTTTGTTCATATTGTAATCCATTTCCATCCTCGCCATCGTTAGTCATCCCCACTTCCTAATGGGTTCCTTTCATTTGTCGAGTGCTGCTCTACAAAATTTCCGTTAATCGATTTATTGTACTTTGCGTCATAAACACGTACCCTTATCCGCCCTCTATTCTTATCAGCCAATTAAATGATTAGCCCGCACGTGCTCACAGATTGTCAGCCAATCAGCTCCATGTAGGCTAACCTTGTTTACGCTCAAGTTCATCGATCGCAGCCGATCTTCGCATACAGCTCAGGTTTTGCTCTTGATTCAAGCGATTATTTCCCCACCCACCCACCGCTGTTAATTCTTATATATCATTAGAGTTGCCACTCTCTGACATCGCTTTGCTATGTAGGCTGTTATTGTGTATCTGCTCCGAACATTATGCCTCTGTGCCCTGTGACACCCATCTCATGGTCTGATATGCCACTCGCTGACACTAGCCCCGAGTACTGGCCTCGCGCGTGGCAGGAAGCTCTCGGGTCCAAGACAACACTTACCCCCCTACCTTCTCCCACATAAATTGTGTCCTTCAATTGTGCGTGACATTAATTCCTACACATACCTTTACAGTTTGTTCGCCACCGTTGATCTCATCATACATTGGGTTAGAAAATTCTTGTATCCCTTCTTCACTCGAAGCCTGGAGGAATAAACGACAACAAATTATAATTAGTAAAACAGTTCATCATAACATGACGTACTCCTTTAACTTACTGGCTAATAACATACCTGGGTTTGCCTGTCATCATTTGATTTTGCGGTAAGCCATCATTTTACGATACAGTGGATTATCGAAGTCAAGATGTTCTGATGCTTGGCCCTGAAGAGGAACGTAACGTAACGAATGTCACGTAACGAATGTAACGATGCACAAATGAAAATAACGGTTGTAAGTCACGTGGCCAGATATGACCACACACTAGGGTTTTCATTTACAGACTCAAAAGGTACAACCACACTTATTGACTCAAGGTTTGACTCTGGGAGTAAAAAGGTTAACACACCTTGAGCTACGATGAATCTTGCGTCTGTCAAGTGATCTTCAACAAACCAATCTATGCACATGAAACACACAAATATGCTTACTTCTGCGAATAAAAAGTTCTTTTTGCTCCATTTTGAAAAAAGGCGTGATTACTGCACAAAATGCGGTGGTTTGTATGGAGACCGAAACGTCAAAACAATTTCCGTCAAATTTGATTTTAGAAAAATTTACGGTCTGGTGACCTCATGATAAAGCCCCCAGTTATGTTTTTCAGTTTTCCATATATTTTTCTGTAAATAAGACCCAATGCATGAAAACTTAAAACACAAACTGTACACTTACTAGCATATCTACCAAAGCAGGAGAGGTGAGTTAAACGTTACTTTGGAACAGATCTGTAGGTAGCTTGTGTCACTGACTGAATAATATCTTTTCTCATATTTCTACCAAGTTTAAAGGGCTGTGTCATGCTAGTTTCAGCAATTCTGTTACACGACAAACTAAACTTAAAATATATTGAAACCACTGAATAATGGTTTCAAACCATAGAAAAACATAAAACAAAATTAATACTAGGAAGCCGCAATGAAGTGCAGATGGTCAAAATTGGACAAGATTGAAACAGATTGGCGAAAAAAGTTAAATTGAAAAACGATGGCCAGTTCGTTTTTCAAGTTAAGTACATTTGTGTGAAACGAGTGGTAATAATGCTTAGAAATCATTTGTGTTTGTTTTGTAAGTGAGATTCCATCTTTGAATTAATATTTCATTGCCATATTTGAGTTTATAGCTTGTAAAAAAAATAATACAGGGAAGAATAGCAAAAAGTAGTGCGACACAGCCCCTTTAAAATATACCATCATTTCTTTCCACACAATCTCACTCATCGCCAATCTAATCCAAGCAGTATGCGGGACGTTTGTCACATATGAACCTACATGTACAATCTTGGACAATACCAAGAGACAAACTAAGCTTACACACTTTGTACAAGTCGGAAGCCAAATATACACGCAGAAAAATAATATTTCCCCCCTCCCATTTATTCAATGTTGTCTTTAAGGGCTTAAAATATTGTAGCGTACACATTCAGACCCAAACGACATTGATTAGAGGGTAGGGGGGGGGGGGGGGGGGGGAGATTAAGTGACCACAAAATAAACGTGCAAACCAAAACTGACTCTAATTAAGTTCAGTGTCTCAACAGTTTTGTACAAAATTGTAGTTAAAGGCCTACACGAGTCTCCTGTAGCTGGCAGAGTGTCTGACTGGTGTTTCAGAAGGTCACAGGTTCGACTCCTGCTGGGAGAACTCAGAATTTTTTCTGAGTACCGTAAATCCTTGAATAAGCGCCCGGGCACTTATTTCAAATTTCAGGTTTTCTCTTGTCAATTCCATAATTGAACAAGTTGTATTTTTTGTAAAATTTTATTTTTGGCAAGAAATCTGTAGTAATTCTGCCTTCTCTTACTTCATACATTCGTTTTGACAGCATTTAAGGAGAGGGGTTGGTTTTATATTACGATTCTATAGGTGGCGATTATTCGAGGGGGGCGCTTATTCGAGGGGAGGCGCTTATTCAAGGATTTAGGGTAGCTTGTGTCACTAACAGAATAATATCTTTCTCAGGTCTATAGGCAGTTTCCAAATTCCCCACATATCATTGTACATCCTCCAATACTTCAAAATGTTCTCAATTTCACCCAGCCAAAGCTGCTCTCCCTGATGTTACATCCATCAATAATATATCGTAGTCTGGTTTTCCAGACAACCTGATATATTCTGAGGGGGGCAGGGTGGGGTGGAGAGGTTTTCACTAAATATAAACCTGTACACTGCACACAAGTTGTGTAAATATAAACAAAAGGTGTTTTGAAGTCAGGAAATGACTCAGATATATAAATACAAAAACTTTGTAAATAAATGCCAATCCTTTTCACCACAAACATCCAAAGATTTGACCACAGCCATCTGTTTCAAATCTTTAGTGGGACGGTGAAATGCAATGCACATGGTTTACAAGTGTCACAAAAACCGGATCAAATTGCATCGATTTCCCTCTAAAGTTATATACTCCTGAGGGGTCCTTTGTGATTCCTATTCAACAATAAACAATACCATACCACGATGCGTACATTGAAAATCATTTTGTGTCTTGCAGACAGTAATTATGGAGAACAAACAAATGCTAAACTGCCACGCGTTATAAAGGACTTACCGTGTAGAGGTTCCTTTTCGGACATCGCCACATCGCACATTTGAAGGCTTCGGCTCCGTTTCTGTAAGTGCAAACACTGCAATCCCAGTAATTCTCATCTGTACTTGGCCTCAAAACTTTACGAATCCTGCGGTAAGACAAAATATAAATAGCTCAAATACTCGAAAAATTTCAATCACTTTTCCAAAGCTAGCACAAGATCGATTCGATTGGATCCTATGATGATGAAGTGTTCTAGAACTCTGATCGTTTCCTCGTTTAGAACGTGTGTGTTCTTCATCGAAGACTGATGTTCACAACCGTAAAGTTTTCAATATTTCATGCTCCAGAAACTTAAGACATTAATGATCACGCAATAGTACAGAGCAAGTCTTCTGACAAAAACACTAGCTTATCAGAAGCTCAAATTCAATTTGTCTGGTGCGCTATTTATGCTATCAAATTTTGCCTCAAAAAACACAACCAAAAGCTTCCTTACTTGATAGGACTTTTCTTCTCCACCTTCTCATCCATACTGCGTTTAAAGCTCCAGTATAGAGAAAATATCCTTATTTTTCCCTGCAAATTTTCGACTTCTCTTGTCCTGTGTACAGCAAGGCTTACGATAGCCTGCCGAGCAGGACGTAATTTTCCGGCTCGAGTTCCTTCGCCGAAAAAGCTAGGCTTACGACGAACAGCCAATCACATCACAGAATCACCGGCGGAACCCAAAGAACAATGGATTTGCCTATTAATGTATTCGTTACGCTTCGAACGGACGGCGGGGTGTGGCTGGAGATGCAAAAGGATCGAGGCCCCAGTGGACTGGCCCCCGAAGCGAAGGCGGGGACCCGACTGAGGCGGTAGGTGCTTGGACGGTTTCTATGGAAAACCGACACCACAGCGAGACCCTTTACACAAAGTCACACTGACCGATGTCAGTGGAGAATGAAAACGAGAGGGGAAAGGGAAAGGATAGAAGGGACAAGGGAGGGCGGGAGCGACGAAAAAAACTACGCAACGATCGGACTGCATGTGTACGCGACAGCAAGCGCTAGCGACGATTGAACCAGGCGAAGTGCCTCCTGGGAAATCCCCGAGCGAGGCTGCGCTGGGCCGAGGCTTGGGCTGCGTTCCAGGCTTCGCTCCACTTTCCATTAACTTCCTCCAAACAATATTGACGGCCATTTAATGTATTCGTTACGCTTCGAAACGGACGGCGGGGTGTGGCTGGAGATGCAAAGGATCGAGGCCCAGTGGACTGGCCCCCGAAGCGAAGGCGGGGACCCGACTGAGGGGTAGGTGCTTGGACGGTTTCTATGGAAACCGACACCAAACTGACGAGCCAAAGGCGAGGAAGGCTCCAAGCACTTAAGTGGGGCCAGGTCCCTGTTGTCCTAGACTTTGCATCCCTCGATAGCAGTGTAAGCGAGACACGACCGAACGATAGGAACACGGCAAGGAATGGACTACCGGAGGCGTAACGATCCTGAGAGCGGCGTGAGCGGCTGCAATGATCCCGAGGGCGGCGTGAGCGACTTCAAAGATCCTGAGAGCGGTGTGCCCGACTGCAAAGAACCTGAGAGAGGCGGAAGCGACTGCAACGATCCTGAGAGCGGCTGCAGCGAACTTGAGGAGCGGTGTGAGCGACTACAACGATCCTGAGAGCGGTGTGAGCAACTGCAGCGAAACCTGAGAGCGGTCTGCCGATTGCAAAGATCCTAATATCCTTATTTTTCCCTGCAAATTTTCGACTTCTCTTGTCCTGTGTTCTCGTTTGTATACAGCAAGGCTTACGACGAAACAGCCAATCACATCACAGAATCACCGGCGGAACCCAAAGAACAATGGATTTGCCTAATATGGTTGTTCAAAGCGTGACTTCCGGTGCTTCTGGTTTCCCGCGAGTTTTGGGGAAAACGGAAGTGGAAATTGACACCCACAGTATTCCAAAATTCTAATGGGAAATTACAAAAAATATTCTAGAGGAGAGAAACGGAGAGCATAGAACTGGATCATCACATGGGGAAAAAGTTGTGTACTCTTTCTTTTAAAAGCCTCATTCCTTATTAACAAAGCGACCTGTTCACATAAATTTTGAGGGATCGTTTTTCCCTCAAATAGGATGTAATTTTTCGGTTTTGGGCCTTAAGAAGGGAGGTCAGGGCAAACCGATCATTGGGTGGCAGAAGTCGAAAAAACAATATGTTTTATATTTTGGCCACAAATAGCCATTACGTAAGGTAGAAACGCGACGTATTTCTTTTCCGTCAGGAGCGCGCTTTTATTCTGAGAAAATTGAGAAAAAACGAATTTTACCCGCAATGTTACCGAAAGTACCCGAACGTAAGTTTGAAATTAGTAATTTAAACGTTCTTACCACTCACAAGCAAAGAACAAACCAGGGATTTTCATACTTAAACAATTATTTGCCGAAGGCGAAGTGAATATTGGGGAATATTCCCCGAGACGAAGTCGAGGGGAATATTCACCAATATTCACGAGCCTGAGGCGAATAATTGTTTTATAATATACAAATTGCAGGGAAAATGTCGAAACTGGAAAAATACGAAAATATTCCGCCATTTTTTCCCCGAGACAAAAAAATTTGAACTTCGCGGCATTTCCAAATAAGATGGAGAGGGTATAATGCCTCTGAGACCATGAGTAGGGAACCAATCAAATTGCTTGAAAATGCATTATCCCATGGTTAGTATATTATAATCTGTGTTAGTCTGCGAGCACGCTTGGGGGCCGAGTAGCTTCCTCCCCGTCCGTTTTTTTTTTTTCAACCGGTGTCGGTTCGTTTTTCGGTTTTCTTTTTGCCTTTTTTCCCTCAGACTAGGGCGTTTACGACGAACCGCAGTTCGTTTATTGCCATTATACATCACGTCAAATTCACTGAGGCGCAAATAAACAAAATCCATTTAATTTGAGGTTTTAGACAAACTGAAAACAAAGTTAGACTTTTTTCGATCGGCCTGGCAGAAAATAAAATGATATATTTTTTTCTACTGGATTATACATCTGTCGAAATTTTATAAAACATACCTCAAGGACATGCCTAAATTTATTCAATTTACAAGAGTTCTATGGACAGCAGTAGGGAGGTGGGGAGGGGGGGTCCTAACGTTATTTGGCTTGAACTTTTCTGTGGCTAAAGTCTTATAAAAAATCTGTTGATATAACAGAAGGCTGGCTTCCCCATTTCACAGGTGTTCGGCACATCCGGGATATTGGTTAAAATGGCGTACAAACAGCAAAGTTCGCAGTCGCGAAGAATGGCTTCAAGTTGACTTCAAACGCTCATGTGAGTAAAAAATTTTCGTTTGATGAGTTTTAGCTGTTCACGTAGGTAGATATCATGTTCTGTGATTTGTCAGTGCCAAGCTATTTGATAGCTAATTGATCGACATTACTGAGCCATATGACGTATCGAACACTCTACTCTGCTACATATTTAAAAGGAGTCAGAGTTTCTTTTAATCCTGAATGTTTAGGAATTAAGTGTTCGTTCGTCGATGTATAACTGGTTCTTTTACAGTTCATTTGAGGCGATGTATCGCTTTAGAACGCTTCAGGTCAGCTCTCCGAATCACAGTTTTGGTTTGATTTCCCTTGGCATCACATTTCATGTTGCAAGCATTTTATTAAATTGCAGAACTCGTGCACGATTCAAAGACAATGCCGTAAATGTAGTATTCTTGGTCTAAAATACATACGATAGAGTAATTTCACGTTATCTGACCTCTTATTAGCAGTTATTAAAATCTCTGTTTGCATGAAACGGCTCAGTATAGTTTTGTATGAAATTATTCACTAGCCGGCGGCACGTTGTTGACGGGTAGTATCGAAAACGAAGACCCCTAAAACGAAGACCGAAGACCGAAGACCCCACTCGAAAACGAAGACCCCCACTCGAAAACGAAGACCCCCACTCGAAAACGAAGACCCCCACTCGAAAACGAAGACCCCACTCGAAAACGAAGACCCCCACTCGAAAACGAAGACCCCCACTCGAAAACGAAGACCCACTCGAAAACGAAGACCCACTCGAAAACGAAGACCCCCACTCGAAAACGAAGACCCACTCGAAAACGAAGGAAAAAAATTA